TTATCGAAAAGTGTGCTGCCTTGTATAGGTTTATTTCTTTTTCCAAAACACACACCTTTACCAATTCCATGACAAGGTACAGTTCGGTTGGCACATCCATCTCTTCAATCAGAAGAACGATGTTGGGGTGCTTCACTCTCCTTAAGATAGACACCTCGTTCTGGATCATGTGCTCCTGTCCAAGGGAGAAGTGATCTTAATCAACATAAACGGCCACGTGTAGGAGGCGCCAACTCAAAGGAGTAAAACTACACTATGTGGAGATCAAGGGGCGTGTAATTGGGTCAAACATAAGAGTATATCTTAGATTCTGACATTCAGAGAGCCTAGAATTGCCAAAAGATGCTGAAGGTCCTTAGATGACACTTGTAATTTCAGAATCTATCACAATAACTATAAGTTCATGTAGGATGAAATGAAACTTAGATTATAAAGTAATGAGAGGAAGTAAACAAGCAAACAAAGATAAGGAGCAGAAATAACATCCAATCACTCCAGCTAACTTTTATTCTCGGACTTTCTGACATTCAGAGAGCCTAGAATTGCCAAAAGATGCTGAAGGTCCTTAGATGACACTTGTAATTTCAGAATCTATCACAATAACTATAAGTTCATGTAGGATGAAATGAAACTTAGATTATAAAGTAATGAGAGGAAGTAAACAAGCAAACAAAGATAAGGAGCAGAAATAACATCCAATCACTCCAGCTAACTTTTATTCTAGGACCATTTATAGAATAAAGTTATATCCTAATTAGTATATAACATTCTATTCCATCAAAACACAACAAATGGGGTGAACTTATGTTTATTTGGGAGCTGATCCCTGTGTCTCTACCCCCAAATATTATATTTTCATAAGAATAAACTTTATACATACTTTGCCTCGGCATTTGCTTTTCTTGATAATTTTCAGGGCATACTCCCTAGCAGTCGACCTGCAAAGAGAAAATTTTTAAAAATATAAACTTAATTTCAGATCTATTGAATCATCATGTTCAGGATTACTTTCTTATCCCATAGGTCTTGCATCATGACATAAATATTTTGTAAATAACTCTCTTTTCCTTTTTTAAAAGAAATCTGTAAACTCCTAGGGGTCGAGCGAGTGTAAGAACAACAAATATGGCAGCACAGAAACCTCGCGAGCTGTTAATGTGGCCACACTGGTAACAGAACCAGCACTGTCGCTTCCCCCGTGGGCAACTAACTCCTCCTGATA